GCATGAATTAGACGAAGCAGATCTATACAGGTGGAGCTGGGGAAGGTGGAGGGTTTCTGAAAGCTCGCTGCTACCGCAAACAATAGGCAAGAATTTGAATGTTGAGCTGCGAGCTCTTTTGCTACCAATACAGCGGGAACCAATCAGCTGTGGCCTAGAGAATGATGTGATTGCAAGCAGATTGACTTAAGGACCTATCAGCCTGCGCCATCTAGAGTTGCATGACAGAACTTTGTATTTGTGACAATTTATATTAATATCATTATTCTTTATATTATTATCACTATTATTATGAATGCATATTATGGCGCTTTTCCACTGCTGGTACGGCTCGGTACGGCTCAGTACGGTTCGGCTCGGCGCAGCACGGTTCGGCTCACTTCGCTTTAGCTCGGTTTGGTTTTCCACTGCAGTTAGTACCGCTTCAAAGTGGGTGGGATTATAGCAGTGCCCTCGGATTTCTGATTGCTTAAAAAACAAACAAACTTGGAGGCAAAATATTTTTTAGTGATTATGTGAATTACACTGCGCAAACCAAATACCCACCGGATGAAGAAGGGTTGGCTCTCAGTCTCCACAGTAGGCTACATAAAATATTTATTTTATTTTATTTTATTTTATTTTTCGTGTTCGCATTTATGAGGCAAAAACAATGTTATGGACGTGTTCTCCGTTACGGACGTGAGCGCTCTGAAAGCGGCACTAAAAGATGCTTTAAAACTTTCACTTAGACATCCAACAGAAAGCACAAAACCTTTCTTTAACCTGAATTTCATTTGTATTAATTGTCTTTTAATTTTAATCAATGTTTCATCAACCAATTGCCTGGATTTAATAAATACGAAGTAGATGATAGATAGGAAACGGAGGCGCCGTCGCGTGAACTGGAGCTGGTCTCATAAATGAACCGAAACTCAGCATATAAGGTAGCCTACTACCTTACAAAGAAAACACTTGTTTATTAATAAACAATTAAAATATCTCCTTGCTATATTTTACATATTCATAATCATTACTTTTGCCGGTTCTTTGTGAAGAACAGCGGTGGCTGTTACTGGCTATTTAAATCTAGCAGGTATGATGTCTCGCAAATACAATGACGCTGGTAGTGACGATTCTGTCTGACCAATCAGTGATCTGCAGTGTGTTCACGTCACATTTTAGTATCGGTACGGTACGCTTGGAACCTCGACAGAGGTGGTACCATTTAAAGCGAGCCGAGGCGAGCCGTACCGTGCCGTACCATGCAGTGGAAAAGCGCCACAAGTGAGCCGTACCGAGCCGAGCCGTACCGTACTATGCAGTGGAAAAGCGCCATTACTGTTGTCACATAATTGTATTTATTATTTTATAGAGTCAGAGGCTTAAATAAAACAATAATTAGGGTCCAAGCACATAAGGTGCGAAGACACCCATTGTGTCCATTAGTTATCTTCTTCTTTTTCTTCTTGTGTTCTTGAAGTCTATGTCATTGCCAGCCCATAGAACTGCTCGCAGGAAAATGAGGAAATTTGGCACACTAGTAGAGGACAGTCTCAGTATTAAACACAACCAATTTTGGGGTCAAAACTCAATCCTTCTAGCACTATCACCTGTCCAAAATTGCACTGTCCAAAAAGCTTTTTGATAGATCTAACCATTCTCGTCAGATCTCGTCATCTAACCAACGCACAAACTAATTTGATGAATACCACGCCAAATTGTATGCGAGGCTATCTCCCCGCGACGCTTTAGCACATTTAGACGAATCTTGGTACATGTCATCAGAAGCATGACCTGAGGCTACATGCAGAATTTCGGCACAGCGCCACATACTGGTCTCTATCGGGTCTCTTTTGATTCAGTGCAGCATACCGAGTCAAATGGTACCCAATTTTTCCATATTAGCCATTTTGAATTTTGTCATAAAATGCTGTATTTTATGAACGCATTAGCGCATCATTACAAAACTCAGTATGTGTCATCAGGACCATGACATGAAGGTACTCTAAAAGTACACAAAAAACACTTTCTGGTCAAAACTTATATTTACTGCTTTTGATTAATTTAGCATATTTTGATTACACTTGATAGATTCCTTGAGTCATACAATGATACCAATTATGCCATATTCGGTCGAACTTGCTGTTTGCCATTTTTGAATTTCTTTGAAAACCAATTTTTTCGATCTCCTTCTAGACCGTTGGTCCAATTTCACCAAAACCAGCTCAGATCATCTTCAGACCATTCCAGAAAAAAGTTATTTATAGCTTTTTGATTGACCAAACCAGTCTCGAATAACGCATCAACAAATTTGATGGCATGGTGCCAAGCTGATTCAGAGGTTGTAACTCTTTAATGCTTTTGGCATATTTACACCAAACTTTGTCATTGTCTCCACACACTGACCACACAACATCAATTTGTTAACAGCGCCACCTATTGGTCAGAAGTGATAAGCAGTTTAATCATATTAATGTTGACTAAAATATTCTAAAAATGTCTTTAATTGCTCATTGTTGCAGTTGCTTTGAAGCTCCCAGCCATGCTTGAATAACTCATCGTGCCTTTTGTGTGCTGCTTGCAGCTATATTTTAACATTTAACAGTTATCAGAACACCAATTAATCAAATATTGTCTATCGGATACACAAAAAGTAAAAGTGGGAAATCTCAATGTTTTGCTTTCCGTGCTGAAAAGACTGGCATGACTGGTCACCAGCTTGTGAAATGTTTTGGATGCTGCATTTCCAAATGTTTGTGTATTGATGCTCATCTGATCTCTCCCTTCTTCTCTCTCTCTCTCTCTCTTTCTGATTGAGTCTCTCTGTGTTCTGGTTGGAACGAGTTGTTCTGAAGGGACTAAATATAGCCGTGCTCAGTGAGGAGCAGAGGTGGCGGGGGCAACCTTTTTACAATTAGAGCCAAGACTAGAAAATTGAGAGCAACAACGGAAAGGAACATTGGTCAATTTTCAGTTCATCAAGAGTTATTTTGTTTTTGCCTGTTTGTCAGAACCTCTTGTTTCATGCAGATGATGTTTTTAGTCATTATTTTTTGGGTTGCAACAGTTAAGACCAGGATTTGGGGTTATAAGTAAACATACACAACCCCCAAAATTAGATTCTAGATGACAATAGTTTTATAAAGATTGGGTGTGTTAAACATGTGATGGTAAATGTAGACTAGAGATAGAGATAGACCATTATATCAGCCAGGACAATTAATATATTTGGCAGTCATGGGATTGTCTCCATATGGCCAATGAACAGATTCTAAAATCTTCTGGCATTATTAATGCGTATATACTCAGGGCTGCAGGTTGGATGCAAACGTGTCTGGTTGGTCCATGTCTGTTTTTGTAATTGCACTGTATTTAATTTAGGGATGTAGTATATTAGTTTAGAAGAACATTCAATTGTACATTTTTCATTGGCTGGCACGTTTATCTAAATAAATAGATACCGGGAGTGCATTAAGGGTATACATTTGATCATTTTGTGTTCCCTCTAAATTAGTTGCTGTCCCTGCTGTGTGTGTTTACCCAGATTACTTTTCACAAATAGCAGAATAATGGGTGGAAATGAAAAGATGTTAAGCAGAGGAAGGCTGAGACTGGCTCATCTGTGATTTTATGAATAAAGACAATCAATTTGTTATTCTTCAATGATTGTTTTGTTTATGCCGGGGTCCACATTTGCAGACCAACCGGTGACGCACATGGAATTGATTAAATGACTCAAAACATGCATATTTTGTCATATGCATGCATGCATTAAGCCGGTGTGTGACTTCTCTCGTTCAACATTACATTTACATTTTCATGGCAATATGGTTTTATTGTACCTCATCATGACATTAAGGGCATTTAACCCTGTACAACTCAATGTACAAATAGTTATTCTGATAAAAACAGCTGCGATAGAACATATCTATTGATTTTCTTGCGATGGCACAAATCATGGCACTGAACAGCGTGAAGAAACACGATCTCTCAGCCAGGTTAAGTTGCCTTATACTGCAAATTTATTCATGTTAGACCTCAAAATCTAACAGCCTCACTGTATTTTATAATATACTAGAATACATTTTCTTCACTCAGCATTTTCTCTTAAAATCCACTGTTTAATACTAAAACTTAAACAAAAACATTTTCATTAATTGAAATAAAATAAACATAAGCTGAAATAAAATCTAAGATCTAAACTTTAGCTAATTTTATTTCTGCTAGTTGCCTACGCAACATTTATCATTTTTGTTTAGTTTACAGTGCCCCTATTGAATATTACCTTTCATGCAGTGTGTAATATAGCTGAATATAAAAGGTCTGCAAAGTTTTAAAGATCAAAGTGGACAACAAATAAAGTTATTGGCTGTGTCCAAAATTGCCCCCTATTCCCTCATTCACATTTATGCATTTGGCAGACGCTTTTATCCAGACGACTTGCATTGCATTTCAAGGTACACATTTTACATTCTTATCAGGTCTTGCTCTCCCTGGGAAACGAACCCATGACCTTGGCGTTGCAAGCGCCGATGCTCTACTGACACACGCTGTAGGCTGTAGACCAATCAGAGCAGAGTAGCTCTAAGAGAGGAAGGATTTAGAGAGGCTGAATCTTCGAACAAACTGTTTTCAGACTCTTTGAGAAATTGTGTAATGTATATTATGAGAAAATTAAAATGTGTTTTTTTTACCTTTGATGCATGCAAACCTATTGTAGGAGACCTCTAAAACAAAATTAGGAAAGTTTAAAATAGCATAATTGGAGTTGAAGTACTAAAATAACTAAAACTAAACACTAAACTTTATAAAAACTATATATACATTTTTTCAATCAACTAATAAAAATTATAAAAAACACAAACCAAATTACTTAAACTCAACATTAAAATATAAAAATAAAACCTAATTCAAAATATTAACAAAAACTATAATAGTATATCAATGAAACTAAAATCACACTTCCTATGTTTTGTATTAGAATATGCAACATTACATCTCATTTCGGTCTTTTTCAGAATGTTGATGCCTCAGCAACGTGGGATTCTGGGAAATGTTCTGCCGGCGCGCTCCCGTGCACCTGATGCACCTGCCAGAGCCGAGAGAGACGTGTGCACAAACCCAGCCAACTTTGCAAGCACTTTCGAAAGACTATTCCGCAATGATTGGTTGCTGCAATCGATGGGAACAAGTGCCAAACGAGACTAGCAACATCAATCTGTGCTGTTCGGACTCTCAGCACACTAGCACTATAACCAATCAGAGAGGAGAATGACACCAATGAACCTTCAACTTGAACAGTCTGAACAGTCAACTTGAACAGTATTTACAAAAAAAGCTACAGTGATTTGCAATCGTTGAACATATATATACACACACACACACACACACAAAGTGCCTCGTTTTCAATATTAGCTTTCTAAATCTAGACTTTCAATTGTTCAGGCAGTGACTGATGTGCTTGAACGTTGCTATTCTTTTACATTGCAAAAGCTGAACTGATACAGAAGGTCAAATGGTCTTTGGGAGCGTTACGGCAAGACATCGACAACGCTGATGGAACTGCTTCTGGTGATGATGATGAAGATGAAGTAATCATGAATCTCATCACAGTGTTCAGCTAACAGCATCACAGCTGTGTGACTAGTTCATCATCCTCCCTGTTCTTCGTTTGTTTCTCCACCCTTTTTGCCCCATGCATTAGTACTTAAGTGCCTGTCTCTTTTCTGCTTCCCTTTTTCCTGCTCTCTTCACAGTAGTGTCCTGAAAGGAACCAGTTACAGACATTTGGCTCAGTGACACGAAGCGTCTATTTTTACTCTAAGGGTGGGGTGCTTCTGTGATGGTGTCCTGCGGTAGATTACCTCAACTGGCACGCAAGGATGCTAGCTGACCAATCCACACTGGACTATACCAATGAGAGTCCGGAATGGGGGTGTTTAAAGGCTTTTATTTGGGAATCGTCCCCACACACTGTATCACAGTGACACCCTTTGCTGGCCAACAGTGGTAAAATAAAAACAGGAGTGTTCAAAACATGACTCTCGCTTATGTTTTCCTTCCTCTTTTTATTTATTGATTTTTTTATTATTATTATGATGAAAATGTCATAGTTCACCCAAAAATGTTTAATCTGTCATCATTTACTCACCCTCATGTCGTGCCAAACATGTATGAGTCAAAGAAACTCATACAGGTTTGGAACGACATGAGGGTAAAGTGATGAGAGAAATTAAATTTTTGGGTGAACTATCCCTTTAAATAAGGACACACATTCTGCTTGTCATCGACCTCTGAAAGACCTCGGGATTGAATATTTATGCTTTTTAGTGTGTGACGGTTATGTTTGCACTAGTGTACCTGTTTTTTGGTAAGTTACTCTAAAAAAGTAATAAATTAGATCTAAAAAGTATTGGATTACTTATTACTAATTACTTTCTAAATCCCATTTCGACCAGTTGAACAATACAAGGATAGACATAATTCTTTCAAATAAATAATATAAAATTATTATTAAACTGCCCGAAGTGTGTAAAGAGAGAAGGTTACATTAAAATATTACCGTTAACATTACATTATAATGTTAAATCCACTTATGTTTTACATAGAATTGTTGTATAGTCCATATAATTAGGGATGCGTGATATATCGGCCACCATATTGGTATCGGCCGATATATGTTAATTTTTTAATGTTATCGTTATCGGCCCAATTAGAAAATTAGGCCGCTATATTAAAGCCGATAAATAATGGATTATTTCCTTCAGCTGTGACACTTCAGATGCGCACTTGATGGTTTTGAATTGCTTGAAATATTATTGGAACCACTATAAAGGAAAATGCTGTTAAGTGCAACATGTGCAGCGCAAGTCTGTCATTTAGGCTACATATAATAATAATAATAATAATGAAGAACATTATTAAAATTGTGTGCTTGGGGTGTGGCTTTTAATTGTGAGACTTTTGTTTTTGTAATCAGGCTCTCAAAAATTATATAAAATTTGAATTTAGATTTATCGGCGAATATATCGGTCATCGGCTTTCAAATATAAAGAATTATCAGTTATCGTATCGGCCAACATTTTCATATTGGTGTATCCCTACATATAATATTTATTGCAATTACATCAGAAGTAGCTGTAATTAAGAGTAATCCCTTACTTTACTTTTCAAGGGAAAAGTATTTAAATTAAAGTAATAATATTACCGTGTACACATATTACTACTTGCTTGGATACAAAATAACAATTATTGTTTATGTAAACTGAGCCCATAATGTAAATACACACTGAACAGAACCAGTTTCTCCTTTAATCATAAGTGGAATCCCACATATTGTTCATTCAAAAGAATGATATCTAAACTCAGCTTTGAGTGCATTTCAACAATCACACCACAAGTTGATCGAGGTCAAGCCAATGAACTGAAACAATATGTGTTTATACCATATACATTCAGAACATAAATGTTTCCAGTACCACTGAAGTCAAGGTTGGGGAGTTGCAAGGCAAAATATGGGGTAGTTCATCCAAAAGGATAATATTTTGAAGAACATTGGGATCCAAACAACATCGAACCCAACTGACTTTCCTTGTATGGACAAAACAACACTGATAGATTTCTCAAAATATCTTCTTTATCTCACGTCTCACGCACATGACACACAGCAGTCTAAAACCGCAGAGATCAAGTTAAAAGCTCAATAAAAAAAGCGCCTCTAGAACTTGCGCTTTTACCTTTTTTTAACAGCAAAATTGCGTTCTGTGTGAACTGGCCCGTTAGATGACAGAGGGCGTTTCTACAGGCTTTGCTGCTGCATGTTATAAAGCTACTTTGGAAGAAACTTTGAGAACTTTACTAAAGTTGTTCTCATGCACTCTGTGTTTGGTTCCTGTTGACAAACTATACATGTATATACATATAAGTGTATATTAAAAGTGTATAAATCACTTGTTGTCTAAAGTAGCACTGTCCAACATCGACACTCGGTAAAGTTACAGCGGGACGCCGCGTCTCTCTTGCCTCCCCTGAGCCCATTGACTTTTAACAGACCCCCTAAAGCGTGCGGTGCGTTTGGTGCGGGGTAACTGAGAATGAATGGGGGAAATCACATGAGAGGAGGCAATGCCTCCATCCCGCTATGATTGGATGTGATTGGTCCGTGTGATAAATCCCGCCTCTTATTTTCATGTGCCTTCCGGGTTCGCAAATCAGTCTGAATGAACAAAATGATGGTGTTAACAGACTAAAGTAAGACTAAAACCTCTTAAGTGTCACCGGCCCACCGGTGGGCCCAAATCCATTACATTTTTTAAACAGTAATATCCTATACTAAACCTAAACTAATCTTGACAAACTATATATCAGTTGAAAGCTTATAATCTCTAGTTTCCATATTTGGTGATTGATTTTCAAAATAAACTACAGAGGAGCCGTAATTTATCAATTTGCAACAAGAATATTTTCATACTCCAAGGCGTGTTCAGACCTTTATTTTGAAATAGTGATGAACATGAAAAATCATGAAAGAAGGGTAGAAACCTCAGTTTGTTTTCATGCCAAGAGTTCAAAAGATAGCATTCAATTTTTTTCAGAAAAAAAGGTCTGAAATGTTTTTAAATATAAAGAAAAAAATTATAGATTCACCATTTGTGATGTGGCAGCGAGCTATAACGCACATACTTGTTCTTTTTATGTGTTTCTTAGAGGTTGAATTCATATCAAAATCTGCCAAACTTCTCATATTACTTCTGAATAGGATGTCTACTTCATAAATTGTATGAAAATTGTGGAAATTATGGTTCAGATCACTCAAAACACATTTGGAAATGGAGGCGCCCTTATATGGGCAGTAATGGAGTCTGGTTGTGCCCTAGTGAAAAAGTTTGGTACTGCGTCCAAACAAAATCTTACTGAAAGCTCATTTTTTGAGAAATCAACCTAAAATTTGAAACACAACTTGTTTTGATTTTTGGCTTTGATTTTTTTTGGCAGTTTTAGAGTCGCCCAGGTTTTGAAAATATATATTTTATAAAAAATATGAATAATTAAATTTTTTACATTGTACATTTTCATAAACTCAAACTTCTATAACTTTTTTTCTGTTTCACTTTCTTAATTTATTTCACTTCTATAAAAATCTGCCAAATGTCTTCTTTAAAACGAGACCAATCTTACGTCTATATTCCAAAGCATTCTTGAATTACAACCATTCAAGTTTGAAATGTGCATTTTCATGTATATTAAAAAAAGGGGGTGACACTTAACAGGTTAAAAAGTAAGTAAACAGCTCGACCACTTAGATATCACAGCTTTATATCTATAATGTAATGTAATGTAATATATATAATGTAAAAAATGCTTAAAAACGCTAATTTGATTAGATTTAAACTGGGTTTTAATAAATAGAACATTAATAAGATTGTTAATGTAAAATACAAAATAGTATTGTATTTAGTTTTTTTTTATTTTATGTAACAATGTTTATTTAACCAGAAAAATGTGACATTAAGTGTAACTGGGACATGAATTTACATTTGATTTATATATATATATATATATAAACTGAACACCAATGCACACCACTGATATATATATATATGCGTTTGTGTGTGTGTGTGTTAACATGTCTTTGTGTTCATGTCTGTTCAAAAAACTGGATGTTTTTTATGAGTATTGTGGGGCTTTTTGAAAAGTATTGTAAAGTTATGCTCTATTTTCTGCTCCATTTCGTGAAATCAAGTCAAAACAATAAAAATAAAAGAAAAAAAATCACTCATAGCAATTACACACTAAAGCAAGCACATATTACTTTCGTAATGTATTCAGCTTCATAATCCCATAATTATGACAGACGAGACATTATTTCTCATCATTGTGACTGATTCTTGTAATTGCGGTTTTACTGTATATATCTGACAATGTAACGTTTTCAAATCTCAATTACATTTTTTTTAAATCTTTATTCTGCGGTGTAAATGCCATACATGGCATGTGCCCTGTCATGCGTTCTCTCTGTAACAGTATCTCGGGCTATACATCTATGAATAGCAAGCGGTCTAGCTTTAGTCAGAGCTGATACCATACAGTATACAGAGTCTTAAGGGTCATTCCACACATTTTTCATGCACGTTACACCAACACAAAAGAGATCTTTATGTGCATGGAAAGTCTGGTTTCACTGTCATGCGCACACACACACTGACATGGGTAGGAGGCTGGGCGTCTAGGACTGGAAGTGAGGGCACATATTCATGGGTGGCCTGTTACTACAGGAGTACTTGTATTATTCAG